TGATGCCAAGGTTCTGCATTTATTTTGCTTTTGATATAGAGCTGTGATGAAACGTCGTAGAGACTTTATTGTTTGTTTGTTAAAAAGAGTGAAGTATGTGGTGAACAACTACATCATAGAATTCGATTGGAAATTCTCTTGAAAGACCAGAAAACATTTTAAAACAAAGGATTCTGAAACTTCCTGAACTTTTATGAAGCTTAGAAAAGATGCCATCGCATTAGATCGATGATATGTTTATTCGTCGAATTCAATGTGTATAAAATAGGTATACAACAATGTTGTTGTAAAAAGAAAAGAAACTTTGTACATGTTGTATAACAGTCAAAATACACACTTTTATTACTTTTTGGCATCCTTACTTTTCACTTCTGTTGATTAAAGTCGTAAAATTGAAGTCTATTGCGAGAGAAAGGCTGGTACAAGCTATAGACGTCATATCAGAAAGGAAGTTGATGCAGTTCTCTGTCAAACGATATTACTTATAACAGGATAGAGATTCTTTATGAGAAGTATATTATGCCAAACATTTTTTTAGCTTTGAAATCCTAAATCGACTAAATAAAAGTTTTATATGACATTATCTTCTATACATTCTGTTGTATGCCAGACCAGACATTTCAATCCCACATGAAAACCTTTATTGTAATGCATTTCTGTATAAATAACGTGATTTACAATACTAACAGTAGATAATGAGCAGCTCAAACAAATATATTGTAATAAAAAATATTATCAGCTAATTCTTAGAAGCGTTTTCTGATGCTTTTGTTAAAGAAACTTTCTAAGCATTGAAAAAACTTCCAATCAAATTCTTGAATTTATTTTTGCAATAGACACTATGGTCTTTCTAACAACGAACAAAAAGTAACCCACGACATTCTATCGGAGTGCTGTATAAACCATATAGAACTTTTGCATCATCTGTGCCAAATGCGATTTTCTCTCAAATTTCAGATACAGAACGTGGAGAAAACGAAGGGCCGCGTCTATAGTACCCCAAACAGAATCTGTTATATTAATATTGCATATATGATCATATTCTATTGTTTTTACATCAATATTTTTTTCTTGGGTCTTAATTGAGATTTTGTAATGCTAATGCACATGCTCAGAAATAAAAAAAGAATAATAGTCTGATTATAAAAATCTTAGTTTTACAAGTAAAAACTGAATGCGCCAGAGACAAATAAATGAATTTGTAAGTAGATATTATACGAATAAAGTTTGCATCAATCCTCGGGTTAACCCGCCGATAAACCTTAGCAGATTGGTAATTCTTTAACCCGTCACATGCTGCCACAGATAAAAAAAACACATTGAACTCGTGACTCGGGTCGAATTCGGTCTCAAACAGATCGAGTTGATGGATCTGGTCAGAAAACATCAGCGACGAACATCTCTGTACCGAAAACTACGAGTTTATCGTTGATTGTCGAATGTCAGGTCAGACTTGAATCTAATAAAAGAGCGTTGGGACGGGTTCGGGTAGAAAAAACTTAAACTCATGCAGTACTCTACCACAGACTCACTTGAAAAGTCAAGGTTACTCAGCTAGCTTTACGGATACTATTTAGTTAGAGTTTTTTCTGTTACTTTGCATTTTCCATTGTTGAATTCTGTATCAAACATAAGCGTTTCACTCTCTTATCAAGTGCGATATAAAATTATTGCCCATTTCAAGAAAAAGGCGGGTAAGTATTTTTTGAATAAATTTTGACAGAATAACTTTAGAAAGCGGCAGTTTTCACCGTTCAAAAGAGGAGATGAAGACGCATCGAACTGTATATTACAGAATAATTTGTTCAAGTTTTTTTAACGTGTTAAATCGATTTTTTTTTAAACCAACATACTCCGTAAGGTGATTAAGGTCAATTTTCAATAATCACGTGTGCATTCGAACCGCTAAATGGAGATCTACAAAATTGCACAAGGCCCAGACTTTTAGATTTACTCGTTCAGGAGTAACAGGCATTTTTTTCGAAACTCTTAGCCAATTTTTCTATTAGTTTCTATGAAAAAAATAACTTTTTCGCTTTTTTCTTGTTTTAAGAGAAACTAATTTTTCGAAATTGTTTTAAGAAAATTGACTAAAAAAACTTCAGAAAACATCTTAGAGAAGTTTATAATACACCATTTGATGCGTCTTCATCTCTTCTTTCCAACAGTGAAAACCGCAGCTCTCTAACTTGCTTGTATCAAAAGTTATGCAAAAAATATCCATTCGCCTTTTTTTCAATGGACAATAGAAATCTCATTTGCAGTTCCATAGTAAACGGTAATATATAAAGTGCATGATACGATGTTACCCTCTCTCGATGCGTTCACATTTCTATTATATACAAAGGATTTTATCCACTCTATATCATCTTTCATTCTATAATTGAAATAGGCTTACATGATCGAATCAAATACCGAAGGAGAAAACTAACGCACTATGGTCTTATTTTTTGACATAATAATGAGATTACGATGCATTAGCGAATTAATCTTTGTTTTCAAGCTCGAAAGAATCTCATATTTTGTTTTGCAAAGGACAAGCTCGATGAAATCCAATCAAAAGCACGCCACTTCACAAAAATGCTGCTAGTGTTGCGAATTTTGAATTAAACATTAAAAAGGTTTCAACGTGCTGAGGTATCTACTTTTTCATGTGTCGCCAAAGCAGTGCAATCTTATTATTTTTAGTCAATATTCTATTTGAAAAGGCGTTCGTGTCTTACCAATTTATAACAAGAGCGATGCACGTATATGAGAGTATACTTTTATTTTATAAAGAGATGCAGTTAATCGGAAGTGTATCAAAAAAAAACGGCGTCATTGCGAAAAAGGATCGGCTTACTCATTTGTTTCGAACGATCTGCTAATGCCTACGCGCAGAACGAAAATTTTTCGTTCTTTCTATATATATAAATTGCAAAAATGTTACGATTTCTTTTTTCTCTATGATTTGCATGTCCTTGGTGGCAGTCCCATACAAATATTGATGTTTGAGTCATATATCTTTTGTCGAAACGTATGTTATATTTTATAACAGTACCTATCTGACACTGTCATCGAGTAGAGCACAATGACGATTTTTCAATTGAGCGAAACAAACATGCCAATTTGCGTTCTATGAAATATAGGGATCCATTTTTTTGAGCATGAGGTACAAAAGTAGGTTCAACAAATGCTATAGACTCTTGTCAACTGTTCAACAATTCATGATTCTAGCACAATCCCTTTAAACTAAACTCCGACGGTGTTAAGGTACATATAGATAATGTACCATAGAGAGAAAACATCTATCATATGTGTACTTCGTTATTTTCTCTTGTGTTCTTTCAACTCATCGTATGGGTCTGTTTTTATCTACATATATATTGCCGTTCGTTTTTTCATTTTCTGTCCATTATCAGTATATCTAGGTTATTTTCCAAAAGGAAGTGGGTGTGGGTGTCATTACAGGTCTTCTCTGCATCCACACCCACACCCATACCCACTCATATTAGTGTTTCTTTCCATGAAACAATAACAATATCATTCAAATAGGAAAAATGATTCTGTTCAATATCGACTCGATTTTATGCACAAAATAGGCAAATGCAGTCTCAATCGTGAATTCGTTGATTGATTCCTTTTTGGTACTTTCGTTCGATTTCTCAGCCGGCACAAAACCACTTTTATTTTTCATCAACAAGAATAAATTTTGTTTTATTGAAGTTCGATGATTTTTCAACAGAATAAGAAATCCTTGTCGTATTAAACTAATGATCTATGTTAATATTGGGTATGATTAAATCGATTATCATTGTATTTTCGAATGATTTTATCGGTATTTTTGCGATGTTATATTAATTAGCATCAATTGCCATGAAAGACGTTCATCATTGAGACAATATATAGTTTCAAGCAGTCGATTCTCGATTCACTCTCGATCTCTTCTAGATTACATGGTACATGCTTCGAACTGATATTTTACTCTGCGATATTATTTATGCTTTTATTACTCAGAAATATCGATCTCTTCTATAGTAAATAACCTAATAAGAACAAAAGTTCTAGATAGCGAGATTTTTTTTTCTTATGTCAAAAAAACCATTATATATATTACCTAATCGTCAACTATCGACAAAAGTAGAGTTTTTTTGAAATAGTTGTTATTTGGCAAACCTGACCATAAGCAAAACTTTCTACAAAAATTTACATTGATTTTGGAACATCGTTGAGACAAATTTTCTTCATGCTAAAATGAAACTCACATCCTTATGTGTTTCATCAACGTATGTTTCCAGTTCCGGAAAAGAAAATCTTCGAAATTACTATAAATTATTACAGAGTATACACAATGAACTCAAGATGTACTACCGAAACTCACAAGGAATTTCTCAAAATCACCACGATCTGAGAAGCAAACTTCGACAGTTTTCCGTAATAATTGCAAGAAAATTATAGAAATATGTAACAGTGGCTTTTGATTATCAGAAATTATTAAAAAAAAACTTCAAGCTATTTCTCTATTATCACCTGTGTCATAAAACTTTCTGATTCTTCCGCAGTCGACAGAACGGACTTAATAAGATCACATGTATTTCTCAGAATTTAAAATAGCCTATACCTCCTATAGCATGAAATACAATGAAAAGCCTATTTTAAAATAATCGTGCCCTGTTGGCTATCAGTAAACAAATCATAGCTTAAAAATCTGAGGGTGTGGGGTGTAAGTGTGAGTGTCTGGGTGTTGGTGCTGGTGTTGTTGTAAAGGAGGTGAATATTCACACTCACACTCACACTCACACCCACACCCACCTAGACCCATACGCACATCCACACCCATCCCACCCAAACCCACACCCACCCACACCACCCATACCCACACCCATCCCATCCAAACCCACACCGGAAACTGTGATCGTTTTGTGTTTATTTCTAGGTTTAATTATAAAAACTCGTGTTCTAAAAATGTTCGCAAGTCATTTTATTGTATTTCGTTTATCTCTGCTTTAATTGTTCTGTACTTAATTGTTATCATCACTAACATGAATAACTTCTATGGCCATATTATTTTGTTTCAATTCATCGACTAGTTTGTTAGCTTTTTCGGTTGCCTCCTTGTCGCCGAAGCCTAATTTTTGAAATATAGAATATATGATATTACTTAAAGGTAATTTAGGAAAATTGAAATAATTCGCAATTATATTCCAAATTCGTTTCATCATAACCATGATAAAGTCAGCGAAATTCTCAATAACCCATGCTTTCTTCAACGCATTTTGAACTATTGAACGACCTAATGCTTCTCGAGACGAATTGTACTCTTCTTGAAACTTAACGGCATGTTTCCCTTTATTTAGTGTTGTGACACAAATTATATCATTAAAGTCCATTTTAAATTTTGATTTCAATAACGATTGATTGTTTATTTTCCATGAATCAATAGGATCGTCCAGTTCACAATGCGTTACAACCAGTATAATTGGAACATTTTTACCAAATATGCCATCATAAAATAGTTGATAATTATTTGCAATAGCATTATTTATTCTTCCCTTTCTCATACACATTATCAGCAGATGGATACCTTCTTCTAAATGGCCAACTAATTTCATTAAATTTCCAACTGCTTGGTCTGGTTTAACGCGTCCTTTGTCAGATTCATTTAAACCAGCTGTATCGTAAATATTGAATGAATATCCGTCTCTTGTTCCTTTATATAATTTTGATTCAAAAGTACAGCCGATAGCAGCATCCGATGTATTGGCTATATCTCTGTTAAATAACATGTTAATTATTGAACTTTTTCCAACACCTGATTCACCAAAAATAACCACATTAAAACCTGTGCTCATGTTAAATTCGAATAATCTGAAAATTGAATAATACAAAGAAATTGTAAAACTCAATTGTCTATCAGAAAACAAATACAAAATAAAAAAAAATTTGAACTTTATTAGTGGAAAATAACTTAATTTTGTATATTAGCAACCGAACAATATGTATATATCTATATTTTTATTATGCTTTTTGTGCCTCTGTCCTACAGTATATATATTCATCTGAAATGTCACTATTGTGCGATATAGAATGGGCTAAAACTCTTTTATACTTCCAGTTCGACGACATTGAAATGGTTGGTCCTCATAGTCATTTACCGGATTTTCACATTTATTTTGACGACTTTGGAAACCAAAATTTTAAGTATAATTTATCTTTGTACTATCCCGTTACTAATAAACCAAGAAGTCTACCCTGAACAGTACAGCTATCAAAAACACCATACTAAAAGTTGGCCACTTCCTAAAGATATACATACAAGTAACGTTCATCGATATTCAATGTCGATTCACTTGGCCCTAGACTGACGGAATGATGACAACGATGTCCTTGTATTTTTAAATAAAAATGAATTCTGTATAATGATGAGTTTAGGAGAAATTATTAATATTTGTAACATGTTTTATATTACATACTATAGCTATATTCAAAATAGTTCACATAAAATATTGAAAGATGCTAATGCATATGATAAAGTTTTTGCTTTTGTTAATTATAACGACTAAAAATAGTGATTTATGCAAAAGTAATGACCATTTCTAATACGGACATGGCCAATTGTGACACAGACATAGTCATTTGAGCCATAAGAATGATCAACAATGCCATAGAAATGGTTGATTCTGCCATGAAAATGGCGAATTGAGTCACAGAAACGGTCATCTCTCTAACGTAAATGGCCAATTGTGTCAAATAAGTGGTCATCTGTACCACCAAAGTGGTATATTATACCATGAAAATGGTCATTTGCACCACTACTATGGTCACTTGTAACAAGACTGGCACTTTGTACTATGAAAACGGTCATTTGCACTACGGCTAGAGCACTTTGTACCATGAAAATGGTCAATTCTGCCACAGAAATCGTCATTCTGTACCGCAGAAATGGTCGTTTGTGCCACAGAAATGGCCCTTTGTATCATAGAAATGGTCATTTCTGCCATAAAAATGGTCATTTGTACCATAGAAATGGTTATTTGTGCCAACCCCTTTGTTACAGACAGACAGACACACAGACAGACAGACGGACAGACAGACGGACAGACAGACGGACAGACAGACACACAGACAGACAGACGGACAGACAGACACAGGTAAATTTCGGTTTCTAGACCCTAGCCTTTCAGTCTGGGGAACACAAAAAATTCAATGCTTTCGACTGGTTTTCTAATAAGATATAGAACTTCCAAAATGCCATTCTTCTTGTACTAATGTCTTCTGCAGACCTTCTAAAAAGTCATATATGTAAAACTTCAAACTTGAATTCAAGTTTCGAGTTTCAACTTTCAATTTTCAAGCTTCAACTTCCATGCTGCTGGAATATTCATTGGGGAAGCGCTTTTCCCGCCTAACACACCTTTTATTTCAGTGTCGCGATCTATGCACATCTCTGCGTACACCGTTATTCCCACTCAGTCCGGCAGGATAGTTCGAGCTTGTCAGATACTTCTTGTAACGCCCCAGATGATGCCTAAAGCATCTCAATCAAAACTTGTAGCATATTAGGCTATGCTTGTGACGTCTTAGGTGATGGTTATAGGATTCCTGGTGAACTCTGTAGCATCCTAGATAATCCCTGTAGCATGCCAGATGATGCTAGTAGGAATCCAGACAATTCCCGTCGATGTTTGGTAATTCTGATGGCATTCCAGGCGTTGATTATTCGAAAACTTGAAACTTGAAATTCATAACTTCAATTGAATTCAATTTTCAAGTTTGCCACTACTGGAAAGGGTAGATATTTTTGTCCAGTAATGTATCTGAATATTGTCAGAAATTGTTTACCTGTAACACAGTAAGCTTTGATAGTTGAAACTTATTTTAATATTAGCTGCGGTTGAGTTTAATGTGAGGTGCATGTAATGTATCAAGTATTTATATAAGTCCATAAGAATATAACAGAGGTTTTTCTCACACATTTTATACATACTCAATAAAAATATCCATGCTGATACTTGTTAAAACACAGCCGTAAACATATCTCAAATATGCCATGATAAAAAGAACGATTGAAAAATATTCCAACCAATGACATCATTGTTGGAAGAAAAACTCGTTGAAGACATGTGCATCATTTATTTGAATGTCAATCTCACTCATAAATCTTCTTTCGTCATTCCTGACGAAGGTCATACAATACTCTTATCTCTACCTTGTGTATTGACTGGACGATTTTACTCTTCCTCGTGTTGTCAATAAAGAATGTTTTCTTTTTGCATTCTCCCTGCGTTTACTTTATACTTCAAAAGAAGAATTATCAACGGAACTCACGTTATACGAAATAAACCCGATAACGAATGTTGTTTTTTCTTCCAACAGCGCCGGCGTTAGAGGAACTAATTTCAATTCATTTTTTTCAGCTAGACTTTTTCATTGAAATCTATCACGAGAAAAAAGATTCTTTCAAGTGAGCATAGTTATGAATGTCGGTGTCTTTTTTCCTTATGCACACCTACAGACACTCGCGCACCCACATACCCACAGGGTGTGGGTGTGGGTGGGTGGGTTTAGGCGTTCGTCTTTCGTTAGCAAGGTCTATCTTCACACCCACACCCCCACCCCCACCCAAACCACACCCTGTGGAACCGTAACCTATCCGAGCTTCAATAATTTTTCACGTGTCGACTTTGCGATATGAGGTCTAGCGTTATCATGTACAAAAAAATTCTATCCTGCTTCCCATGGAGTTTTGCTGTAACTCGATCCAATTGTTGACAATAGAGATCAGCAGTGATGTTGCAACCAGTTGGGTGTGGGTGTGGGTGTGTGTGGGTGTGGATGTGGGGTGTGGGTGTGGGTGTGTGGGGTGTGTGGGTGGGTGTGTGGGTGTGGGTGTGGGTGTGGGGGTGTGGATGGGTGTGGGTGTGGGTGAGTGTAGAGTATATTCATAAGCACATCCACCTACACCCACATCCCACACCCACACCCACACCCTTGAAAATACTTAAAAGTACGGTATAAGCTTCATGAGATAGAATATTAGTATTCAGTGCCGTAAAAGTACCGAAAAGTACTTTCGATACTTTACATCATAAAAATATACAGGGTGGTAAATAATATTATTCCAGGGGGGTGACAGTATGATCTCGAATCGGAGATATCATGAATTTTATACCAAATGAAAGCCCGTGAAAAATGGGGTTTAGTGATAGTAAATAGTAAGACTTTGAAGAACTTTCGTGTACCAAATTTTTAAAAACAACGAAATTTTCTTTCAAAAACACGTTAAAAATCATTTTTCATACATTTTGAGACATTGAAAACGAACATTTTTTATGAAAACGAAAGAGAAATGATAACGATGATGATATATGACTATGACTCACACAATAAGATGGTTCTTTGGCGTTCTGTTCTTCTCTCCACGTGATACTAGTTATTTGAAAAATTTTTTCGTTCTCGGACTGTCTGAAAGTTATAGTCGAGTGAAATCTCAGTGTTTTTTCGTTTGTTATTTCAAATGGCTGGCGCTTATGATACCGAACAACAAAGAATGATTGATAGAATTAAATGCATTACTTTCCGAGAAGCTCGTGATGCTGGTGCAACATTTATAAATAGACAATGGATTGCCGACAAAATTCACCGTACGACTCGATTTGTTACAGAATGGTGGGAAAAATCGTGTGACCAATGTTTTGCTGATTATTCGAATGCTGGTCCTAAACTCAAGTTATCGAGAGCTGCTCAGGACATTATTCGTGAAGCAAGTGGTCACCAACGGAAAAGCGGTTCTGTCGTGGCGAAAGAGATTGCAAAGAAACAAAAAGAATATGTTACTCGACAAACAGTTAATAACTACCGTCGTAGGGAAGGATTAAAGCCTTTTCATGTTATTTCAAGACCGTTAAAATCTGAAACTCATATATCAGATCGATTATGGCTCTGTGATTGGTTGAAAGATTGGACTGAAGAAGATTTTCTTCATCTGGCACCATCAGATGAATTTTATGTTTGGACAGTTCGCAAACCAAATTATCAAAATGATAGGATTTGGGCAAAAAGTGTTGAAGATATTGAAGACGATGAAAGGTATCGCGAAATGGTTAAAAACCAAGCGTGTATCGGTATTTTTATCATTTTCACCGCGAAAAAAATGCATTGGGTGATTAAAGACAAAGGTGAATCTTGGACCGGTCAATATTTTCGTGACATTATTTTAATGCAACACGTATTTCCATTCCTCACCGACGAGGAAAACGTAATTGATCTGGATAATGTGATATTTGTTCACGATAAAGCACCGTGTATGCGAGCAAACATGACTCAACATCTGATTAGAGATAACAAAATCGAGTTTTGGGGCAATGATATTTGGCCTGGTAATTCGCCCGATCTCAATGCGGCGGAACATATTGGATCAATAATGAAAGATGAAGTTGAACAAAAAATGTTATCGGAAACTGGACATAATCGATATAGTGAAGACACACTTAAAAAGCACATTGCGGATGTTTTGACGGACATGGAAGAAAATACCGAATTGTTTGAAGCTCTTTTATGTTCGTATCCATCTCGACTTCGTGCAGTAAAGAGTGCTAATGGTCGTCATACTGATTATTGATTGTACTCAATAAATAATAAGAAAATAAACAGTTGTACAACATATAGTTTAGCCCCGAACTTTTTCGATGAACTGATTTTATAATATTTTATGTCGATAAAAATCGTAACGTTTGATAAATTAATACAAGAAAGTTCTTCAAAGTCTTACTATTTACTATCACTAAACCCCATTTTTCACGAGCTTTCATTTGGTATAAAATTCATGATATCTCCGATTCGAGATCATAGT